CAGCTGCTTTTATATTGTGGGTGAGCCTGTTGTGTTGTGTTTTGTAGGTTAAAAAAGGGCAAAGAAGTGACATTGACTTGGCCACGCCCACCTGACCAACAAGCCATGCCCTCCCAGTCACCTTACCACCAAGCCCCACTCACTAATTAAGCCACACCCACAGAACCGGTAGCAAAAATTTTTAGATTTCACCCCTGGTCTGAACATCTGTGTGACTGTGCGACAAGCCATTAAAAAGTGAATTCTCTATTTAATTATGAGCTGCATTCCTGTAACATGCTAAGACATGAATTCTATTTTACAAATCGTGAGTTCAAACAATATGTTAAGGGTGCATGATTATGTTTGTGTAGCAAACTGAGCATCTTTTGACAACAGTCATTGTTAAGGCTGTCATTCAGCAAATGAACCCCTGACACAGTAGATTAATGACATTCATAGTTTAGCTATTTTCATCCTCTTTGGTAATATTCCAGCATTCTTCACACAGTTGAGCACTTCCATTAAAAACAAAATGGCAAAATCAAATCTCCCCCCCCCACAAGTTTTGAAATGTGTCTACTTGAGCTGTGTATGTGGCTACCGTGTGTATGTGGCTGCAAGGAAGCTAATCCTTCCCTCCAGAAATTTTACTCCAGAAATGTCACTGTAAACTACTCCCCAGTCTCTATCCCAGGAAACTAGGGGAAAAAACAAAGTGGAACAGCAGATACATTGTTGTGGAAGAATTTGGTCATAGGTACCCAGAACAAAGTACAATGAGGAAATAGTGCTACCATGTACCCGCAAATTCCAGCCTTTTCTTGCACACCAATGTCAGTTGCAAGTAAATAAATTACAGGGATTCCCGCCCCCCCTCAAGATGTCACAAACTGTATTTCACCCCACTTCAGAGGATGGCAATGGCTCTGCATTGCAAATTCTCCTCCTCCTTGGGTCATACCCTTGAAAAATAAATACACTCTAACTATAAGCATTTATCTCAGATAATCATTTGCTATTGTTTTCATTCATTTATATTCAATTAGGAATATTCAAGAGAAAAAAATGTACCACATTGCTTTCTTAACCCTATATATTTTGTCTTCTATATTGAAATTTGCCAGAACTTTACGTTCTCTTTGTTTTGGCAAGCTATTTGTTTGCATACTTATGGTGAGATTTTTATGAACTGCCGTTTGCTATAAAATTGATAAAATAAAATTTCAGAACACTATTATTAAAGAACATTATTATTCCAGTAGTCACTGTTTAAACTCATTAATTTTCTGATTTGTTGTTAAGGTTGAACCAGTGTTTGCTAGGCAGCTGTACTATTTTGCACAGCAAAACACCGGACCTATTTTGAGAGGCTACGATATATCAGAACAAATAACCACTTCAGAAGATTATCATAGATCCATCCACCATTCCTCTGTTCAGGAATAAACACAGGAACACTGAAGTTTGAATTACATTTTGAGAGGCAAAAGGATGCAAATCAGTGCTTCAAATTTCCCCGAGAAATCATCACCAACTGGAAATGTACATGGAATGGATACAGTCAACGTAAGAATCTAGAATCCCGAATGAGAGTTCTGCCATGCTTTCGGAAAGCTGTCCTCTGCTTGTGGGATTAATGACAAAATGGCTGATATGTTTACATGTTCTTAAATAAGGACAGCGTCTTAGAGACAACCTGAAATTATTTCAAGCCTCTTGTTATTTATTTGATTTGAAATCTCAGGGCAGGAAATTCTAAACCTAAGTAACAGTTTACTATGGTATAAGGCCATAAAAATGCATGCTATTCATAAAAATGGGATAAGTATATTATTTTTTTAAAAGCTTCAAACAATCGAAATGTTGAATGCTGTGTATGTAGAAAATTTAATTTCAAGGTTTTTTTCCTCATAAATGTTAAAAAAGCTGTTCTGTTGCTGCTGTTTCCAAAACGCGCATGGATACTAAATTCTGTGGAATCTATCAGAAATCTTCCCAGGACAACGCATTATATCATTGTCCAATATTTATATCATTATATCATTTAATTTGTATTAAATTCAATAGGCTAAATTTATTCATAGCAACTATTAGCGCTGAGGTTTCATTCCTATATAGACCAGAGAGTGATTTTCAGATGGACTTAACTTTCCCTCCTATAATGCTGTATGGAACTGTATGGAACTGACATTATTATCCATCTAGCAATCTTCAGGCTGAGGAAATGAACGTATTAGAGAACTTGACCTATTTAGTGCATTGATGCTTATATTTGAATATTTAAGATTGCACAAGAGTGAATGTGTAAAAACTGAGAGCCAATTTGGTCTAGTGCAGTGATGGCTAACCTTTTTGCCGTCGTGTGCTAAAAGCAGGGGAAGCGCGGGGCTGTGTCATGCACGAGCGTGCCCGCACCCATATTTCAATGCCCCACTATGCCCCGCCTGGGCGCATCCACGCACGCCCCCCCCCCCCCGCACCCTGTTTTGGGCCTAGCAGGCCTACCTGAATCCTCCGGAGGCCAGAAACGGCCCGTTTCCAGACTTCCGGTAGGCCCAGTAGACCCATTTTTCGCCATCTCCAGGCTTTCCTGGAGCCTGGGGAGGAAAAAAATGGCCTCTCTCCTCCCCCCAGAGACCCTCCAGAGGCGGAAACACCCTCCCAGAACCTCTGCACAAGCCCTGTACTTACCTGGTATCCAAAACGGCCATGTGGAGACTCCTGGGAGGGGAGGGGTGGTGTGGGAGGAGCCAGCGTGCACATGCGCACTGGAGCTGAGCTAGGGCAATGGTTCGCGTGCCTTCAGATATGGCTCCACATGCCACCTGTGGCACGGGTGCCATAGGTTCACCATCACGGGTCTAGTGGTTAAGGCACCAAGCTAGAAACTGGGAAACCATGAGTTCTGATTCCACCTTAGGCATGAAAACCGGTTGGGTGACTTTGGGCCAGTCACTCTCTCTCAGCCCAACCCCAGCTCACAGGGTTGTTGTTGTGGGGAAAATAGGAGGAGGAAGGAGTATTCGATATGTTCGCCACCTTAACTTATGTATAAAAATAATAATGGCAGGATAAAAATACATAAAATTAAAAAAAAGTTAAATTCAGACTAGGATTGCACATTGTGGTATGTTTTCCTTAACTGTAGTTTATTGAGAAAACCACATTTTTCATCAACTATGCTTCATGACTATAATGGTTTCCTGCTGTATGCCAAACCACAACAAACCCCATGATGACTTAGGATATTGTCTGAACAAGTTTGATGAACTAATTTCAATATATAGGGGACTTTATCTGAATAGTCAAACAGTGCTTGGACATAGTTGACTTTATTTCGGAGGGTTAATGTGGAGAGATGTAAAGAGTAATTGTGGACCACTTGTGTACTGTTCTAAATAGTGTATAGAAGAATAGATGAAACTTGTTTTCTACTTAAAAATAAAGGTACATATTTTTGAGGTACATATTCAGCAGTCTTCTTTAATCGGTTGGGCTCAGTTGATTTAGACTAGAGTTCTTATCGCCCCTGGCCAGGGAAAACTGACCATTTTTCACACTTATGACCACTGCAGCATCCCCATGGTCACATGATCAAAATTCGGATGCTTGGCAACTGGTTCATATTTATGGCAGTTGCAGTGTCCCGGAGTCATGTTTGAAATAGCAAAGAGAACTTTTGGATCAAGGAAGAACACTCAATATGATCTCATTCTCTTAAAAATAGCGGCAGGTATTTCAGTATCTACTACTGAAAGATTTCTACTTTGTAATTAAAAATATACTGAACTTGAATATTTAATCAGGAATGTATTGTATAGTTAGTCAGTTGGCACTAGATTCCTGAATTTATACATCTTAAAGATGCATGATGCCTTGGGATATAATATCCATTTCTTTCTTCTCCCAGAAAATTCCTTATTATCTGACACATTTTTCCTGGATATAGTTAGTTACAGTCCTTAGCACATATTGGGAGTAAACAAATTGAATTCAATGGAAGTTATATCTCAATAAACATGGATAGGTTGCACTATTAAATCTCTTTAAGCTTGGAAAATGATAACGATAACTCCACATAGCTCTTTGAATCTTTTCATGTTTGTTTGTTTGATGGTTTCTTTGATATGTCAGTATACATTTTTAATCCATTTAGGCTACAAGCCTTATTCCTATACGCCTAAATACATACGGTATTTCTTGTGCTCTTAGCATTTAGTTTCTCCTATTGGCTGCTTCATGTAATTATATATCAGAATTATATCTGTTATGCCAAGATGAAGCTCAGACTGTTTATAGTTTCAGGGGAACACTTTGTATTATATGTAAGAGAGATTTATGTGACTAGAACAAATGTTGACCTAAAATAAAAAATTTGGAAGTTTTTCTATTGATTTCAATGCAACCTATTACTGAGTCACATTTTCTTGAGAAGATTGTTGATGGGTATATATCGGCTTCATACTGTAGACTTGAATACCATTGGAGGAAGTACTTCACATAAGGACAGGACGGCTCTGTGTATTAAAATACACAAGATTTTTCTGATATTGTAGAGCTACCATTCATGGGCTGGAAAAATCCAATCTAGATGGCCACAAAGAAATAAAGAAAACTCTAGCTCTGTGCTGCTTTGTAATCATTATCCAGATTTTTTCAGCCCAGAACCAGCAGCCATAGATGAGGAAATCTCACATAAATGTGAAATCAAATGTTGCTTTAATGAATCAAATTGTTAAAGCATTGTGTCTTTAATACGAGTCTTAAGAGTAGTGACATTTTTTTCCAGGTATGTCTAGAAACCTGAAATAATGTGGTATGTGCTTTGATGAACAGAAATGATGTATTCATGTGGGGTCTGTAGCATTTTTTCAAGCCATTTTTCAGTATGCTCAAATAAACATACACAGAAATAACACGAACTGTTATTTCATGCAGCAATGTTCAGTTTTTAATTATTGAGATTTTTAATTTTAATTATTAAGTTGCATTTCCAAGGAATGTAAATGAGGAAGAAGCTTTTAAAGTCTGATTGTTTCTACAAATAAGGAAATACAGGTAGTCCTCAAATTACAACCGTTCATTTATGACTGTTCGAACTTACAACAGCACTGAAAAAAGTGATTTATGACCATTTTTCACACTTATGACCACTGCAGCATCCCCATGGTCACATGATCAAAATTCGGATGCTTGGCAACTGGTTCATATTTATGGCAGTTGCAGTGTCCCGGAGTCATGTGATCCCCTTTTGCAACCTTCTGACAAGCAAAGTCAATGGGGAAGCCAGATTCACCTAACAACCATGCTCCTAATTTACTAACTCAATAGCTGCAGTGATTCACTTAATGGTGGCAAGAAACATCATAAAATGGTGCAAAATTTACTTAACAAATGTCTCACTTAGCAACATCAATTTTGGGCTCAATTGTGGTCATAAGTCAAGGACTATCTGTAGTCTTTCAAAAATGTTTAAAAAAATTTTTAGGATTATCAAAATACTTGGAATTGCTCTTCTATTTTTAATAAAATTTTAAAAATGCATTTTTAGCACTACTGGGCAAGAAAAGCAGCCTTATAAATAGAGTTGGTAACAGTTACCAACTCTTTTCATAATAACCGTTCATATGGTTGCTTTCCTTATCTTATTAGCTATTTCCAAATTCAAAGTGAAAACTACATATACATATTTCTTGATTTTTTTAAATGCAAGAGCCTTGAAAGTGTGATCCCCACCCCCAGTGCTAGCTATTTTTTCTCCTGCTAACCAATTTATGCTGGTTCGCCTCCCCCACCCCCACAATAAAACTTTCTGCTTGGGTGAGAATAAACTCATACCTAGAATCTTTCAAGAAAAAAGTTGTTGGAGAAAATGGATTTTGGAAGAAAAATGCATCAAGTTTTGATCTCATGAGGAATTTATTTTAAGCTGTATGATAACATGCAATCTCTAATAGTGGATGTGAATATCTGTGAGAATTCCTTGATTTAAGTACAGATTGCTTTAGGCATGTGATCATGGATTTTTCTCTAAGCATACAGTAATAATGCTGTATGCCATCTTTTACCAGGGTTCTCTCTCCCTTCAGTCATCTTATGCAGAAGCAGCTCTCAGAAATGTCTATGGAGATTCTCAGTCATCCAGGTCATGCTTGTCCCAAAGGTGCTTTTTCAAGAGGCAACTGGACTTTTCTAGTTTTTCTTTGAAGATGTTTTGCTTCTCATCCAAGAAGTTTCTTCAGCTCTCCATTCTCTTGGATGAGAAGCAAAACATCTTCAAAGAAAAACCAGAAAAGTCCAGTTGCCTCTTGAAAAAGCACCTTTGGGACAGCTCTCAGGAAGATAAACAATGCTGTGTTAGTATACTAGGGACAATGCAGTCATTTATGTACTATATAAATGCCCTACAGCCTCATTCCCAATCTTTGAGAAAGTCTAACTGTAACGAGTGAGTTCATGTTAGCAATGCCATTCAATTAAACATGCTGAATATGGCCTGCTTTGACTGACAAGTTGTACAAGGCTGATCTGCATTATACATCTCAACTGTATTGCTGAATTAATTGGATGAGAAATGGTTAAGAGTGCTTTTCATTGTTAGTGATTTAAGTCTAGAAAAGTGAAGTTGAACAATTAAAAACGTACGTCGTTTTTCCCATTCTAACCAGAAAGTTGGAAGAAAACAACATCTTAATCATGACTCTCGGGTGATTCTGTGACGTAGGCGTTATTGAAATGTGCAAGGCTGGAGTTGAAATGAAATATGTGGGTTCACCAAATACCCATTAGACTCTGAGTAGTGCAAAACGGGCATGGGAGAGCGCACACGCATGCGGGGGTCGGATTGGTGCATGCATGTGCAGGGAGGGGTGTTGTGCACGCATTGTATTATGGGTGTGGGCACGCATGCGCGCTTTCGGCACTCAAGGACAAAAAGGTTAGCCATCACTGTTATAAGTAATTCAAGGTGCCAAGCTCTTTTGGAAAGTCATAGATGAGAATCACATGAGCCCAGACAACCATTTTAAATGCAACCATTTTAAATACATGCCAGTTTCAGGAGAACCCAAATCTTGATCATGTAACCCCGGAGAGAATCCCCGGAGAGGCCTCAACCATTATAAATACAGGCCAGTTGCCAAGCATCCAGATTTTGATCGTGTGACTATGGGGATGCTGTGATGGTCATACGTGTAAGGATCAGTCATAGCTCACTTTTTCAGCACTGTGATAACTTCAAATAGTTGCTAAACGAATGGCTGTAAGTAGAGGACTAGTTGTGTTGTACCTTTCTCTTTAGAAAATTCGCAATACATTAAACATTCCTACAACTACAATGATAAAACTTAATTTGTATGGCATTGAGTACACCAAGTAATAGAAGCAGTCTTTTGGTAGACTATGAAAATGCAAAATAAAATAAAATAAAGCTGGAAATGATTGTTATCAAATATAAGCACTATAATTATGCTGTACATACTTTTTAAATTTAGATTTATGTTTGATAAATAAAATGATGTTTTTAATCCAGTTTTTCCAATCTTATTTTCAAATAGCTCATGAATAACTTTCCCTTCTATTTTAAATTTTGATATGGCTTCTGAAGTTTACTTTCTTCCTGCAGCTGCATAGTATTATTGCATTGTGTAATGAAAATTAAGCAGATTTTTTTCCTGTACACATTATCTGGTTGAAGTCAACAACTTTGCCCAGATCAAACATTTTACTACAATTTCTCACAAGACACCAATACTGTAAGTTGTATAAATATATGTGGTTGTATGACAAACCTATTGCTGACAATCATGGTTGGTATCCAGACACGCTTACTCTTTCTTTTGGTGAAAAGTAAGTGCCTATGTATGCAATTAAATATGTAATAAGGCAGATATGATGTTAACATGGCCGTGTGCACTCTTTATGAGCAATAGATTTCCCAAGTATTAACCTCAAATAAGAGAATTGTAGCAAGAGTACAAGTTTCCTTTGATCTTTCAAATGGGTATGCTATTTACATCAGCAGTTGTCACCACTCCGGAGGTGGGGGAAACACCATCAGGGCTCGTCAAACAGCTTTCAGGGAAGAAGAAGAAGAAAAAACCACTGCCTACAGAGTATAAATTAGAATGACATTGTAAATGTGAATTCCTTTAAATGAAAGACAAATCAGCTTACTTTATAGTCCTGTTAGAAGAAATGTTTTCATTTACTGTTCCGCTTCTTTCCATGAATTCACAGGAAAAGCCACTTCCTCTTTTTCTAATATTATTTTTTTCTTAATATTCACAAAGACCCAAATTAAGGCTCTTTCTTTAGGAATAAATCCCATTCTCTTCACAGATCATAATCTTTGAAGTTCAGCTTCAAAACGCAGATTGACCACCCCATGTGTTTCGGATATGTCCCCTATTTTGTTTTTAAGCAGCAATACACCATTTTTTTTTTCATGCTGCATTTTGAATAAACAACAAACTCTTATCTTATGAATAGAAAAATTCAACTCTGAGAGAATATTGGACCAGAATTCAAAAATGGATTTTAGAAATCATAGGATGTAGGATAAAATTGAACCCAGAAACGTTTTTATTAGGCATGAAACCAGAGAACTTAAACAAATCTAATTGGTATCTCGCTCTCCACATCATCATTGCAGCCAGGATCTCGTTTGCACAAGAATGGAAATCCAAAAATATCCCATCGGAGGCTATGTTAACCGCAAAGATCATGGACTGTGCAGAGGCAGACAAGTTTACCGGATTTTTGCGAGATAGACGAGAATTGGGGCTATATATGAGTTGGGACCGGTGGTATGCTTGGCTGCAAAAAAGAAATCTTAAGAAGAATGTAAAATAATAATCTTAGTGTGACTGTCGGTAAATATTTATAGGAATATTGCATGGCAGCTGAGAATTCTTTCTTCTGGATAATCTTTTCTTTTTTTGATGATTTGGTTCAATGGAGGTTTGTACTATTTCTAGGCGAAAATTGATGCTTTGAAACTCTATATGTATTATATCATTCTCTGCAATTCTATCCATATTGCTATATTTTTTTTCTGTAATTTTTAATAATTTTCAATAAAAATTAAAAAAAGAAAAAAGAAAAAAAAAGAAAAATTCAACTCTGGAGTAGTGAAACCCGGGTTCAAGTTAAGTTTTAGCCACAGAAGCTCACTGGTTGACTTTGGGTTAGTCACACTCAGCCCAATCTATCTCACAGGGCTGTTGTTGCAAGAAAAAACCAGGAGAATGCTACGTATGCCCCATTGAGCGCTCAAATAGAGGGCTATAAATCAAAAGAATGTGTCAGTATTGAGATGGGAGAGATACAAAGTGCAAGAGTCACAGATAAAGTTCATTCAAGTGTTTGCTGTGATCTTTTTTT